ATCTATCTTCACTTCTTGTAATTCCTCCTATTTTACTAAGCTAGAAGATTAGAAAAAGGTGCTTGTAGCCCATATGTGCACCATATTCTACAGTCTCTCACTCTTCTCTGAAGCAAATGTTTCCATGAAAAAGGAACCAGCAGTGAGGAAGCCCGCCACACATTGGGATTCGTACTCTGGTTGCCCAGAGACCAGTGCTGCCAATTTCAGAGAGGTATCTTCAAAGCCCAGAAATGTCAGACAAGCCAAATCCAGTTTATGGCTACCACCCGTCTCAATTTCTCAGGTTGGCTGACAACCCTTTTTATTTTATCTTTAGGTTTCCTTTTTTTTTTACATCATAGATGCAATAATGTTCTCTCTAAAAATTCAAACAATATCGAAATCTCTGAGGCTGAAACATAGAAAGCCGTTGAAACATGGACACTCCCTGCCTGCAAGATAAGCATCACTAACAGTTTCGTTCTATACATTTACACACATCCATACACAGAATGTTTGATTTTTAAAGGAATGGGGGATCATGAACAATGTCCTAGACAAACTTCTGAACAAATAGATAGGAGCTTGGTTATTCAACAAACACTTATGAGGGCCTACTGTGCGCCAGGCCCTGTTCTACAAATGGGAAATGCAGAGGTGAAGCAGAGAGCATTTCTGTTCGTGAGATTTATGTATATTCTGAAGGGGAGAGACAGTCAACAAGCATTCAGACTGAGAAATAAGATCATCTCAGATGGAGAAGTGCTATGAAGAAAAATATAAAGGGCGATGGGAGATGAATGACAACGGGTAGAGAACTGGCTCCTTAGGGAAGGTGTCTCAGAGGAAGTGGCATTTGAGCTGAAACCTGAGTAATGAGAAGGAGGCAGCCATGCCAGGAAACCGTGGGAAGGGTATTTTAGGCATCAGGAAGAATAAACGCAATAAAGAAACAGAAAAAGCTGGGCGTGTTCAAGAGAGGTAGTATGCCTGCAGTTTAATGAAAGTGTAAAAGTGGGAGGAGCTAAGGTGTGAGAAGCAGGCAGGGGCCAGATTACGTTGGCCCCCTTCAGCTGTGGCAGGAGTTATTATTGCAGGGGTGAAATTACAACTCTCCAAGAAAAAAAAGATGGGTTGTTCAATAATAGTGTTGGGACAGCTGGCCTTTCATGTTGAAAATAAGTAAGGTATCTATGCCACATCATATACAAAAACAAATTCCAGATGGACAATAATGCCCATAAACAAAGTTCAAAGACTAGCAAACATTGGGAGAAGATATTTGCAACATATACATGGAGAAAAAGAATCAATACTCAGGATACATGTTGAAGTCTTACTAATTGATAAAACTAATAACCAAGCAAGAAAATGAGCAAGGGACATGAACTAGCAATTCACAGCAGGATCACCTGTATGGCCCATGAGGCCATAAAAAGATGATCCACCTCACTAATAATCAGGGACATGTAGATGAAAACGGAACGAAATGAGGTACCATTTCATAGTCATCTGGGTATGGAAAAAACTTTCAAGTCCTAAAGTAACAAGAGCTGATGGTCCTTCTCTCATGAGCTGCTATGTGCATGGAAATTGTAGCTACTTTGGAGATAGGTTGGCATAGATGATAAAATCGATATGATAATTCTCCATGACCCAACACTGTCATTTCTAGCCTAGTGCCTGCAAGAAACTTTGGTACTTATGCAGATAGAGATGGATGTAAGGATGCTCAGAGTGCCTTTTTATTGGAGTGGAAAAACTGAAAAACCTAACTGATCATATGTAAATGGAATGGATAAATAAAATGTAGATGGCTATTCAGTGAGACACAATACTATACAGGGGTAAAAAAGAATGAGCTATTTATCTATCTATCTATCGAAACATGGATATCTCTCAACAAACATCAAATTAAATGTCAACCACAGACTGCTACATACAGATAGCACAATACCATCCTTTCTAGTTAAAGGAACACACCAAAGAATACTCAATCATAATCAATTGTTGGCAAACTACAATTAAATCTGACCCACCACCTGTTTTTTTATGGCCCATAAGCTAAGAGTAGCTTTTACATTTTTAAATGGTTGGAAAACATTTTTTAATGAATGATTTTTAATGACACATGAAAATTATACAAATCTCTAACTTTTGTGTCTGTAAATAAAGTTTTATTGAAAAACAGCCAAGCTCATGCTCTTACATAATAGTGTCTAGAGGATGCTTTTGCTACAAGGGCAGCAATGAGCCATTGTGACAGAGACTGCAAAGCCTAAAACATTCATTCCCAATCCTTTATAGGAAAATGTGCAGATCCTGTTCTATATTATTCATGGACACTGTTTTTTAAATGGCCTGACGTATACACATCACATGCATGATGGTGGCTACCTCTGGGGGAGGAGGAGAGGAGAATGGAACTAGCGATAGAGGTCAGGGGGTTCTACAATGTCTGTAAAGGTGAAAAAACTTAAAAATGGTCAGTTCCACCCGGTGGGAAAACAAGTATTTATGATATTAAGTCCTTGTACTTTTTTAAAGCCTCAGGAAAGCTAAAATGAAAAATATATTTTGTAGGTATTGTTCTGTACCTGTACATACAAACCTATTGTATATGTTCTAACAGTTGCATAATAGTCTATTTTATAGATGACAGAAATTTCTTTTTGAATCCCGTACTTATGAAGATTTTTGTTCCAGGTTTTGCTATCACAAACAGTACAGCAAATATCTTCATATTGTATCTTAAAACATTTCCGTAATTATTTCCTTTGAAGAAAATCCTAGAAGCAGTGTTCCTTGGTCAAAAAGAAAATCTACATGAAAAATTTTGATATATGTGGCCAAATGACCCTTCCAAACTGCCGCATCAAGTTTTTCTCTTGAAAACAGTGTAAATATTATTCTTTGTCAAACTGGTAGGTGACAAGTGTTAAATCATTATTGTTTTAATTTGAGGCTTAGGATCTCTCCATGAAATTACAGGCTATTTGATTTCTTTTTTTCCCTACAATGCCTGTTCAGGTCCATTTCTTTGTATTCTTGGTCCAGAAGAAATTTGTGGCTGAGAAATAACCCATGAGTTACACTTTTAACCAAGTTATTATACTTTAACCTTATAATAGCAGAAAAGACACCTCAGGAATCACAAAGGGAGAGTCACGTCATTTCCTCTAGTGAAACGATGCCAAGTGTGGAACTGGCTTCTCTTTCCCCATAATCCATCTTCTTCCTCCCAGCAGCCTGCTTTTCTTACGTCCTTTTGGGCTCTCCTGTAAGTATTTGCATTTTTGAGGTGCTGGTCTTCTTTCCATGGCTTTTACTAAGTTTGAAATCTCAAAGCCACTGTAGCACTTTCTCCCTGGGCTTTAATCAAAGCCACATTGACATTCCTGTGAGGTGTCACTAATTCCATTGCTGAGTACCACAAGTCACTAATAATAACAACACATTATACGTGTGTGTCTGGGAGATCCTCTCCAATTCTTGACTTAGATTGCGTTTATACGTTTCTAATTATACAACTTCTCAGCTTATAAAGCACTTTCACATTCCTTTATCTTTTTTTGTTTGTTTGTTTATATAGATGATGTATTACAGAATTGTACACTTGAAAACCTATGTAACTTTATTAACCATTGTCACACCAATAAACTTTAATTAAAAATAAATAAAATTTAAAAAATTTTAATTACTTTATCTTATGTGATCTTTATGACTCTGATCACTTGTGAAAGAGGAAAGGGGGTAGGTGTTCTCAGCCTCATTTTACAGAAGAAATCAAAACTCCAAAAGATTAAATCAATTGCCCAAGATCACCCAGTTAATGGTGACAAGATCCTTTGTGTTCTACGATCTTCCAAGGTGTCTAGAAGCAAATAGAAATGTTTATATTTTCAATTTTATGTTGTAATCTTGTAAGATGCTTTAATTCTTTGCCAGTTGTGTGCATTTGGGGTAAGGATTTCCAGAACTTTTTTTTTTTTTTAAAGCTCAGAAACATCAAAGGCATACCATTTTTAAGAAGGAAATTCATGATTTTCTATTAATATGTCAAAATGTAAATTTTAGGTTAAGATTGAGTATATATAATTTGTTCCTTCTTAAATAGTCTGTAATCACATGTAAACTCAATTGAAGGTTAATTACATGTATATTTTGGCCTCATTTAATAGGAGTTAAAAGTTCATGTTGTAATGCGTTTATTATAGTGTCAAGGAGGAAAAATTAAATGCATACCAAAGGAAACACAAACAAATAAGATACCCTAGTACAAATGTCTCTCGAAATTCATTAGTTATTACTGAGGAAGCTCCAGTTAGAACCATGTGGTTAGAACCATGTGGGAAATACGTTGACCGGGAATCAAGAGTGAAAGAAAAGATATCTGCTTTTTATTAAAACCTGAAGTGTACTATAATTGGGTTGAGTTTCTACCCAGACGGCCCCCCTCATGCTGACATCTGCCAAGTGTATGTAAAACTGTGTTGAGGTGTTGTTTTCTGTGGCTGTGTGGACACATGTTACTCAGTTAAAAACCGAGGCCTTGGGAGACTCCTCCATGCTGATTCCTGCTAACCCACTTCGAGAAAGCTTGTACCTCCCCCGCCAGGGAAATGCCTATGCTTTTCACTATCGGAAAAGATTTGGAATTCTTTAGAGAAGTTATACATGTTTGGTCTTTGATCTGATACAAATCAATGACAAAAGTAGAGATTTGAGCCTCTCAGAACCCACATCGGATTTACCATATCGTTACCTCTGAAAATGTTAAGTCATGCAACAAAACGCTTCCTTTAAGAGGTGAGATGTTACGTTCAAATACATCTTTTCATTTGATTGATATTGTTCTAAATGAAAAGCCTAGCTTAGACTTACTTAGTCAAAGAAGATGCCCCTCTCTATGAGAATTGTTTCTCAAGTATTTTTAATGGATGAGTTCATTATTACATATTTTCATTGGCTCCCACATTTTACAAGTTATTATTAACAAGTCATGTCCTTCTTCTCAGACAACAGAAAGATCCGAGTTAATGGAACCAAGGAACCCATAGAGTTTAAATCGAATCAATGGTTTGGAGCGACAGTGAGAGCCCACAGAGGGAAAGTGGTGGTGAGTATAAATCCTGTGCTCGTGGGTTGCTCTGGAATACAATGTACACTGACATGCTTTACAGCTCATACTTACAAAAAACCCTTTCATGGAAGACTATGTCACACTTGCACAGTAAGTTTATCATCATTCTAGAACAGAAATTGAGTGCTTACAATTAAAGAATCTGTCTGTGTTTAAAGCTATAGGAAATAAAGCTTGTTTTCCAGGTCAATGAGATATTTTCAAAGATTTCAAAAACAACTAAGGAAGATAGAAAAATCAAAGCTACATCTTAAAGAGGTAAATAGTTATTGCTTAAGATTGATTTAGAGGGCTGGTTAAAAATTGACCAGAGAAATAGGACTACTACAGTTAGGATTTGTTAAAAGTTAATTGACTGTGGTGTCATTCCTGCTTTTTAGAACTAAAGGAAAGCTTTATTTAAAAATATTAGTACTGGGCTGGCCGAGTGGCTCAGTTGGTTAAGAGCTCGCTCAAGAGTTTGAGCTCTGAGCAACAGCAGTTTGATGCCCGGCCCAAGCTGAGCTGCTGCTGAGCTGCCAACAGGTGGCAGGATGGCTCAGCTAAACAATTAAAATTAAAATTAAAAAAAAAATAAAAATATGAGTACTAATTACATGGTTCTCTGAATACATTAATACTTTTTAATATTAAAAAATCTCACTCCCAAATAGATATCTTTCAGCTTTAAAATGATATAACTTTATGATTCTATTCTCTTATTATTTTGAGTGATGATACGTGTCTAAGTTATTGAGAAATAAATGACTGCATTAAGCTAATATGGACATTTTTTTTCTTGGGGGAATTTTTTTTTTTTTTTAGCTGAGCTATCCTGCCACCTGTTGGCAGCTCAGCTCGGACCAGGCATCGAACTGCTCTTTCTCAGAACTCAAACTCTTGAGCGAGCTCTTAACCAACTGAATCACTCAGCCAGCCCCTCTTGGGGGAATTTTTTAAACTATAGGCTTTAATTTCCTTATAACAGCAAAGCAATAACTTGGCTTTTAAAGCTGTTTTCTTTAAAGCTGTTTGAATTACGATTTAGTAAGTATCTAAAGATAATGACTTACTTTATTTGGTGTGTGGTTAACCCCTCCAAAAGATTTTTATGTAAAACATGTAATGTATAAAATATAGATAGCCGTCTCTAGTTACAAATGCGGCATTTACAATATGCTCTCTGTAGAACTGTGCATTACTACAGTTTTCACATTCCAGAATTGGTAAAAACATTTTTTATCCTTTATTGGTACATGACTTACATAATTACTATTGAAAAACTAATTCCATGTAATAACTATTTGAGATTAAAAAATGTTTCAGGTACTGTATTGATTTCTTTTTGTCTTAAGAATTTACCTGTAACATAACTGTGCATTTATTCAATATTTGTAGAAGGCTTCAGAATCATTGAAAAGAAAACAATGCACCATGTTCATAATAAAAATGGTTAATCTGGGGGCATGCTTACATGTTCAAGGAAATGGAAAGGAAATAGGATAATATAAAGTACATTTCAAGTTACTTTTTTTTCTTTGAGCACTGAAACTTAACAGACTCAAGAATTAAATTCTACCCTATGTGACAATTATTACAACTGCAAAATGCTGCAAACAGAAATATCATTTTGAAGACCCAGGTATCAGGTGTGTACATGTTAAGTTTGGGTCAAAGCCCAAATACATCACATCGTGTGTTTCACATCATTGTCAAACTGAGCAGATATAAAAATGATAACATTTTAGAGCTGACGGCAGGCAAGCACTGGAAATAATTTTCATGGCATTGAAATGTCTTATGATGACAGGGAAGCTGAGGCCAGCTAGCATAATACCCAGCCACACAGGTGAACACTTTCACTGCTCACATCCCTCTTACTTTTCACCATCTGCGCCTTATATTAAATGTATTAACCACATAACTTGTCAGTTCACTAAGAGGACCCTAAGATAAGGGAACTTAAATGAATTAGAGAGTTTTTAGATATTGGTAGAGACCTCCCAATATAGAGAGTTGCAAAACCAAAACCACTTAAGTTGTAGAAGTACCCTTTTTAATTGAGAATGTAAGTTATCTTTACTAAAAGTAGTGATACGTTGGACTGATTCCCAAAGATACCTGATTCACACAAAAGGCCTTGAAAATTGGGAATTGCCTTCACTTTTTCTGGCATTATTTTAAGTGTGATGTCATCAGATTAGATCAGCTAGTGGTTCCATATGCTAGGAATCTGTAATTCTGTGTCATTAGAAATGATTGCTGGAATAATCAGATAAAACGCCTACGGAAAATTCGAGCTAGCAAAACAAGTCAAAAAGGTGCCTTTCTTTTCTACACATTTGTTTTTATTGCCTCTCATTCCTAGCAAAATTAATGTTATTTAATTTACTTAAAGAGGATTTCTTATATCCTCTTTCATATTAGGTATTCTTTCAAATATCATCCTTGTGTTAAGAGTCTAAGCTTCTGAACAAGTAACCAGGATATGTCATGCAAGAATCATGTTCTACTTACTGTAAATTTTTTTTTTCTGCAAATAAAAGCCATTAAGTGAAAAATAAAGCCAAGAACATTGTGATAAGGGCGTCATGTTTCCAAAAGAAAGTCATTGTTTAAAAAGCCATAAGATACACCTTCAGGGATAAACTAGGGGAATCCACAAAACAGGTTTATAAACTTGTCTATGTCCTTTGATTAGAAAGTAGTTGTGTTTTTTTTTTAAGCAACAATTAAAGAAAAGAACTAGTTCTCATTTTAAGGCATCACACTGATTCATTCACTGTTTAAATGACCATTTGCTTTTATGTAGGTCCAATTAAAAAAAAAGTATGAGTTTTTTTGCTTTGAGGAAATATTTACTTTTGCCAGGTTACTTTTATTTAATTTTAAATCCTTTGGGGGAAAGCTCACTCTTTTGTATACATTTAATTTGTTCCAATTCTGCAGTGCATTCATGTTAACACATTGGCTTTGGAAGTTTAATTAACTCTGACTACCAAGGTACTCATTAGCATGCTGGAGGCCAATTAATTCACCTAATAATTTAATATTGTTTGTCACAAATTTAGGTACATTAATCAACAAGTCAAATTAAATCACGGTATGAGGAACCTATGTCAAAAAACTATTTATTGCCTTTGATGTTTCACAGGCTTGTGCTCCCTTATACCACTGGAGAACTCTTAAATCCACCCCAGAGAAGGACCCAGTTGGCACGTGCTACGTAGCGATTCAGAATTTCAGTGCATATGCAGAATATTCTCCTTGTCGGAACAGTAAGTCATTTTTATTCCTTGAGACTGAAATTTAACTCAAGAGCTTTTCTGTTGTAGACCGAGCAGGTACTGTCAAAACACCGTTGGTAAGGAAAATGAGATGGGGGTAAAGTTACTGACCATCTTCCAGGATGCCTTGCTATGGCATGAGGGCCAAGACACCGAATTCTGCTATCCTCGTCTGTGTTCTAGACAATTTCTGGTTGTTAAGATATTTTGCAGTAGAATGGATTGGTTCCTTATTTGAGGTCTTAAATAAACTCTCTGTTGGTATTCAAAATTCACACTGTGATCTAAAGAATGCTTGACCACCCACTTGACGCATTAATTGCGAGAATGGTGTTAGTTATTGTAAGAAAATAATAATAATATAAACAGAGACACTTTAAAATGGAGCTGGAGCTGCTATCTCAGAGGAACTGCTCTGCCCCTCTTTTGCCTCAAACCTTTGGAATGTTAAAACAGGGCCAAATAACCTGAGGACTGGGCCTAAAGCAACACTGGATCCCAAAAGAAACTGTTTGCAAAGATAACAAGGAAGCAGATATTATGACGGATGGCTACTGGACTGAAAATTACAAACATTATTTAGAATTAACATCACTATGTTAGCTTTTCTGCACCAATTAAAATGCCTTCCTTCTATTGATGTAATTGTTCCCCTTCCCTTTCTCATAAATACCCTTTGCCTTTGTCTCCTAATCAGAACACTATTTGGTTTTTTGGCCTGCATCAGTGATTCCCGAATAACTATTTTTTTTTTATTTTAAATAAATGCTTTGGCCTCTCACTTTGAAAAGCCTTGTGTTTTTTAGTTAAGATTGGTGTGCTTGGACCTGGGGACACATTGCATTTGAGCTCTCTGTCCAGTCTGTGCTCTCAATGGCTGCTGCTTTCTTTGGCAGCTGTGTACTTGGGTTATCTGCGTGTTATCACTTTCTCCTTTAGGGGTTTAATCCCCATTTTTCAAAAAGACTCTGTACACATAGAGGCCTCCTCTCATTTGGCAGTTCTAGAATCGTCCAGTGAAGCATCCTTTAAAGTGAGTGTATGAGCGCCATCTTTGGGGGCACTGCTGTTTCATCTTGGTGGCATACCCAAGGACTTTGGGACATTATTAGTGATTGACCGATACACTCAGAGTCCTCTTGTGAACGCTCCCATTTTTCTATGTGTCATATAGGTCATTGGAATTTATCAGGAAGCAAGCAATGGATTTTTTTTTATTCTGTTGATAATTCACAAGACCACATTGAGGAAATGGCATTAGAAAGAACATTCTAGTGACTGATTTCAGGATATTGATTTTTAAAAACTCAATCCCAAATTAGATTCCCAAAATATAAGTAGATTCTCCCCCATTTCAGTAACTTTCTAAAATTCAGGATTTCTTTAGGTAAAATAATAAACAAGTATAAGAAATAAATCAATGAAGGAGTATAGTGTGGGAATAGAATCAATGGAATTGTAATAGATATGTATGATATCAGAGGTGGGGGGGCAGTGGATGGGGGAGGGGGCTATCACTTTGTGAGGGGTGAAAAGGATAACTATTGCATTGTTTTGTACACCTGAAACTAATAATAATAATAATAATAATAATAATAATAAATCAATGAAGATAAAGAATGGATCAGCTATGATGGTTGTCAGATGGGAGGGGAGTTGGAGAGCTGGGTGAGAAAGGTGAAGGGATTAAATACAAACTGGTAATTACAAAATAGTAACCAGGATGTAAAGTACAGCATAGGGAATATAGACAATAATACTGTGATAACTATGTATGGTGCCTGGTAGGTACTAGACTTATTGGGAGATCATTTCGCAATTTATATAAATGTCTAATTACTATGCTGTACACCTGAAACTAATATAAAATAATATTGAATTTTTTTAATTTAAATAATAAAACCCTTAAATGAATTGTGTTACAACGTTAAAAAATAATGGATCAGTGATAATAGAGGGTTAATAAAGAGACTGCTGAGATTTAGAAATCTGAAGGACTCAGAGTGGAACAGCTAACTTTGGTGGTTTGGAGTGAAGATTTTGGCACAAAGACAATTATGACTTCCCGTTTAAAAAATACTAAAATAAATCAGCCACTTCCTTACATCATCACAAATGTCAGCTGAATGAATGTCAGTGAAATTGGGACTTTACTTTAAATGCTTTTAAAACAAGGATTTCTTGTCGGTAATGAGACTTAGTTATGTCTTCAACACATGTTTATTAAACACACTGAGCACTAATTCTACAGTTAGGGAAGAAAGCACAGAGCAAGGGAAACAAACCCCTGTCTTCAAGAGACTTACATTTTAGTGGGGGAGACAGACAACAAGCATGTAAATAAATACGTTGAGATCCAGCAATTCCATTTCTGGGTATATATCTGAAGGAAATGAAATCACTGTCTTGAAAAGACATCTGCACCCTCAAGTTCATCGCAGCATGACTTACAAGAGCCAAGACATGGGAAACACCTTCAGTGTCCATCGATAGATAAATGGATAAAGAAAATGTGGTATATATACAATGAAATATTATTCGGCCATAAAAAGAATGAACTCCTGCCATTTGCGACAACATGGAGGGACCTTGAGGGCATTATGCTGAGTGAAATCAGTCAGACAGAGAAAGACAAATACTGTATGATCTCACTTATATGTGGACTCTAAAAATAAAAAAGACAGCTCCTAGATACAGAAAACAGATTGGTGGTGGTGGTGGTGGAAGGGGGGGAACCCAATGGGTGAAGGTGGTGAAAAGGAACAAACTTCAAGTGACAAATCCTGGGGATGTAATGTTCAGCATGGTGAACTATAGCTAATAGACTATATTTTATATTTGAAAGTTGCTAAGAGAGCAGACCTTAAAAGCTCTTATCACATACAAAAAAAGAAAAACTTATAACTATGTGTCCTGATGGATATTAACTAAACTTATTGTGGTGATCATTTCACAATATATATTTATTATGAAATAAATATATATTATTATTATATATATTGTTAAATATATATATTAGGTTGTACATCTTGGACTAATACAATGTTACATGTCAATTACATCTCCACAAAAATTTTTGAAAGAGTAGGGCTGGCCGAGTGGCACATTGGTTAGGAGTTCGCTTCGGAGCCCGAGCTCTGAGCAGCAGGGCCGCTGGTTCGGATCCCACATGGACCAGTGACGCTGTGCCCTCCACAGCTAAGATGCTGAACAACAGCTCGACCTGGAGCTGGGCTGTCATGAGTCACCGGTGACGGCGTAGGCTGCAGTGAAGCTGCAGTGGGTTGCCATGAGCTACTGTGAGTGGCTGGCAGCCAGCATGAACTGTCAAGAGCCGCCGTGAGCGGCTGTCCAGTGGCCGGCGAAGGATCTGCCTCACCCGGGAAGAGCGCAATAATAATACCAACATGGGCCAGTGAAGCGACGTCCTCCACAACTAGACTGAAGAACAAAAGGACAGCAACTTGTCTGTTCCCCTTCCCCGATTCCCCAGCACTGTTCCCCTCCCCCAATTCCCTAATAAAAAATCTTAAAAAAAATTTTTTTTGAAAGAGTAAATAAGTTCCTAATATAATGTCAGGTAGTGAAAGTGCTACAAAGAAAAATATAACAAAGCAGGAGAGAAGGGAGTGACGTGGCCTGGCTGGAGAGAGGAGCTTTTCTACCAGAAGATGAGAAGGGCATCTCTTCTCAAATGACTGTTGGAGTAGGGAAGTGGGGAGCTTTCCAGGCACGGGCTAGAGCAGTAAGAGGCATATTTTGTGTCATGTTCCACTGAAGGGGCTGTGCTCCTGCATGCAGTAAGAAGTCATTATTATGCTAACGATAAAAATCAGGTAGAGAGAGAAACTAAATCCTGAATTTACTCAGAATTAATTGTAGAGCTGAGACTCAATACGGAACTTGTTTCATCAATTTTCACACCTATGCGCATCATATTTCTTATGATTTGCTAAAGATGCTTACCCATAACAGTAAACCATTACAGCTAAAATGATGATCCCATCCTTCATGTGCCTCTTGCCTTGATGATATGTCATATTCTTCCTACTAATGTCTAGGATAATCATTTAAAAAACTTGTCACTGCTTCTTGTTCTGCCTTTTTGACTGACTGCCTATGTGATAGGAGGGCTCAGATTAAAATACAGCACATGGCATCTAAACTTGTGGGGTAAGAGTTACAGTGTGAGTTTGAATCATTATCTAAAAATATAAATTATAGTAGGCCTGCATCTTGAGTTACACAGCACATTATAATGCCAATTTATTTACTGCTTATTTTCCTAATGAAAAGAACAGCTTGACAAAGTTAAAAGTAGAGTTTATAGACAGCTGTCAACCGTGTACCAAAATTTAAAAAAAATGGATCAAAGACCTAAACATAAGACCTGAAACAATAAACTACATAGAAGAAAGCATAGTTACTAAACTTACAGACCTTGGGTTTAGAGGATTTTGTGAATTTGACCTCAAAGGCAAGGGAAGTAAAAGCAAACGTAAATAAATGGGACTATATCAAACTAAAAAGCTTCTGCACAGCAAAAGAAACTATCAACAAAACAAAGAGGGAAACAACCAAACGGGAGAAGATATTTGCAAACAATAACTCTGACAGGGCCTGATATCCAAAACATATCAAGAATTCATACAGCTCAACAACAAAAAAACCCAATTAAAAAATATGCAGAGGACCTGAACAGACACTTCTCCCCAGAAGACAAACAAATGACCAACTGATATATGTAAAAATGCTCAACTTCACCAGCTATTAGGGAAATGTAAATCAAAACCACAATGAGATATCACCTCATACCTATTAGAATGGCTGTCATCAACAAGGCAAGTATAATAACAAGTGTTGAAGAGGTTGTGGAGAAAAAGGAACCCTTGTACACTGCTGGTTAGAATGTAAATTGGTACAAACACTATGGAAACAGTATGGAGTTCCCTCAAAAAATTAAGAATAGAGTTACCATATGACACAGCAATCCCTCTTCTCAGTATCTACCCAAAAAAATCTGAAAACATTTATCCACAAAGATATATATGCTCTGATGTTCATTGAAGCTTTATTCACGGTGGCCAAGTCATGGAAACAAACAAAGTGTTCTTCAGTAGATAATTAGATAAAGAAGACATGGTACATACTGAGGGTGCCAAAAAAAATGTATACAAGTGAACACTTTGGTCAATGTTGTTCAAGCAGTAGTTCGCCATAATCAGAAGTGTCTGGCTGCTGAAGGTAACCACTTTGAGCACCTCTTGTAATTGCAGAAGTCAAACGTGACTTGTATTCATCTTTTGTTTTTGGTATATATTGAGTATTACAATTTTAATAATTTTTTCCTTTCTTAAAATGTGTATACATTTTTTGGCACCTCTCTATATACAATGGAATATTATTCAGCCAAAAGAAAAGATGAAATAGTGACATTTGTGACAACATGAATGGATCTTGAGATTATCATGCTAAGCGAAATAAGTGCTACAGAAAAAATCAAGAACCATATGACTTCACTGATATGTGGCATATAAAACTGAAAGCAACAAACAAACAAAAACTCATAGACACAGACAACAGATTAGTGGTTACCAGAGGGTAAGGGGGGTGGGTGGTGGTAGATGAGGGTAAAGGGGGTCAAATATATGGTGATGGAAGGAGAACCAACTCTGGGTGGTGAACACACAATGCAATATGTAGATGATGTATTATAGAATTGTACACTTGAAACCATGTAATTTTACTAACCAATGCCACCCCAATAAATTTAATTAAAGAAGTGGGGTTTATGTTGACTTGCAGAATAGCTAAATAAATTGCCAAGAATTCTTTCAACTCTAGGACACATCCATGGTTTGCACATCCTCCTGGTCTCTCTAACTATTCTTCCTCCTCCAATCCACCCAAGGAGCAGACTTCCTGTCTTCCTCAGGAGTTCACAGTTCATTAACACAAAGCTAGTTTGTTCATGAGCATATGGTCCATCTCACAGAACAGGAACATCAGCAATATTATTTTCAGAAGAGAATTTAAAGAACGCACTCATGTTCATTCACACCACAACCCCCCCCCCACTGATAACTTTGAGCAACATGGGTGCTAATCTGCTTATTCATATCAATGGTGTGCCTATAGCTCTTACGGTCAATCATAAATCAGGTAGGGGCGGTTTACACACACCCTTCATTCTACTTTGGAAGCCAACAAAGAGTAGCGCGGGGTCAGCATGATTCCCTGGTTTCCTGAGTTCGCTCTGGGACATAATTGTAAAGTTTACAGGTTCCCTGAAATTCCAGGAAGAAAGGTTCCTTCACCCCTCATGAACTATAATGCTAAGAGAAAATAATTACTTTGCAAAAGAAACAACCTCACATTCTATTATAGTCACCACTTAAATATTTGAAGTTGGCTATTTTCTCAATTTTATGAAAAGTTACTATTTCTTTTCATTTTTTCAGTTTCAAAGCAAAGTAATTGAAAAGAACAGTCATACTTCTCTTTTGAATAATTTATAATGTTAAAAATAAAAAAGTCAGAGTTGATTTTCAAAAGGAATTTTAGAAGCATTTGTGTATTAAAAAAGTACACGTCTTAAATATACTGAAGATTACATATGTATGTTTACATAGTTATATATCATGTATTCACATATATTTCTGGATGCATACAAATATTTACACATGTGAACTCAAAAAATAGACATTTGAGGTTATAGAGATGAGCTTTTAGGGAACTATTTTATAGCATTCATAACTATAAACTACAAAATATAGTTATCAAATAAGGACAAATTTTGTTAAAATACATTGTAAGGTATCACGCGCTTAAAAATTTGTTAAGAGGGTAGATCTCATGTTAAGTGTTTTTATCACACACACACACACACACACACACACACACAAAAAGCAAGGGACACAAGAAGTATTTTAGAGGTGATGGATATGTTTATTTCCTTGACTGTGGTGATGGCATCATAGGTATATGCATGTGTCCAAACTCACCAAAATGTACATTAAAATGTGCAATGTTTTTGTATATTAAGTTTACCTCAATAAAGCTGGAAGAAAAGAACTTAGCTTAAAAAACACAAAGCATTAATTGACATTTGAATTAAAAACAGTTCTTATCATCAGCTCTCCCTCCTCCACCCCCCCAAAAAAAACCCCCACAGTGTATGAGGTACAAAAGTATTTAAAATATAAAAAGAGCATCTGGAAAGAGTAGGTGATGACAATGCTAAAATTAGCTAAGTACTAGCCAAGGGAACAAAAAACCAAGAAAACATTCTAGAGAAAGCTGGAAAGGCCAGACCTCTTTCAGAAAGCTTCTGGAACAAGTGCGTGCCCAGTCTATAAATTTTTCCTGTGATGATATGCATTTCCTTTCCTGCCATCTTATTCTAGTTTCCATTCAGGAATATCCTTGATAACAAAGGAATAATTATTTATAAGTTCATATCTATCATAATTATATAACGACTGAGATTCCCCTCTACTGAACTACATTTTGGGTTTAATTTAAGCACTTTAGAAGTTGTAGAAACTCAAAGTACAAGTGACAAGTAGTAAATTCCTGATCCTAATGTCCTAGAGACCTTTTAATAACAGTATCATGGGAATCCACATGTTGGCCGGCTGGTAGTTTCAAAAAATGGTACAATAAAGTCCTACTGGGCATTCCGTTAGTGACCTGTATTGGACGGAGTACAAAATACTCCACTACGAGAGTTTTGTTTCCTGTGAACATTAGCATTACAATGTCCGAGATTCACTGTGACCAGAAATGCAATTTCCAAATTGACCTAACTAATGACAATAGACTAATTGAAAGTTAATTTCTTATTAGAGATCATAAAAATTGGTATCTTTGTTGGTGCCTTCAGCAGAAAGCATCCACCCTGGTGACCACATTTCGCTCTCCCTTCCTCAAGACGTTGCCTTCAGGCATGATCTGGCTTCACCCAGATCACACAGGCAATGCAGAAGCACATTACGGCCACTTGGAGAACTGGGACTTAGTTGGAAGATGGAGATTTTATTTCTTCAAACAAACATGAGTTGTAAAACCCAATATAATAACTCCAAGGGACATCATTCCTATGGATCTGCCTCTAGAACCACAATGATATTTGGGACAAGAAAAATGATTGAAATATGTTTAATAAATGGTGTGGAATAAATTTAAAAGTAAATATATTGGGTCGTCGGGAAAGTCATGACGCATTTTTGCATTGAAAAACATAGAAAAATACGTCATGACTTCCCCGGCAACCCAATAAAACACATGCTGATCATTTTAAATATAGACGTCTACAGAGAAAACAAGAGGCTATCCCGAATTGGTTATGAAAATGTGTTTTGGGAATGATGAAGTTATAACATCATATGTATTTTGGTCATTCTAGGTAACGCTGACCCTGAAGGACAGGGTTACTGCCAAGCAGGATTTAGTCTGGATTTTAATAAGGTAAATTCCTTTAGCCTTGCACCTTCTAAATTTGTATCTTACCTGTCTGTTCATTTTTGTTTTGTTTTTTACCTTCTGCTTCTCACTCCCACTTCCACCCCCCAATAACTAGCAACAATTTTAGGGTGTATATCCAGCCTCTTTTGGCAACTCCCTGAAATTTTTTCTTTACTCTTTATTTCCATTAATCTATGCACATGATAACCTATTTAAATAGTACAGAAATATGAGTACATATGATGAAAAACAACAGTCTTCCTTCCCACTCCTCGTGGTAATCATTTGTGAATGAAAATAGTCTCAAAAACTCAGCACAGAAATGAGCGTCTGAAGTCATCACAAGCATCTGTAAATTGTTCTATCTCTCCACTGTGACTGACCGATTAGATTTTAACATGTGTTAAAATTCACATATCCTTTCCCAAAATTAAAAACAGAGATGTGTAGTAAGAATATAGGAGGCGAAGACTCCGTGGTTTTAAAAATAGTATAAATTTCATCAACAGTTGACATTTTACACTCTGTCTTCCCCCCCCCCCCACTGAAAATTAAGGACGCAGAGAATAGAAAGTGAGGTTGTAAGTAAGAGAGAAAATTTATATTTTCTAGTCTGGACTTTTTGCTGTCTCCCCTGGAAAGGGTGGGTTTGCAGATATATACGGGGAAAAAATTAGGCATCACTGTGGCCTTGAAATAAATAGGAACTGAATTTTCATTTTATTGCCAAGGCTCAAAAGACCATATCTGCTAAATTGCAAAGCATTAAATATGTAGATATTTTTTTGCAGCAGTGCCAAAAAAAACTGAATTTATATATTCTCAGGGGAAAGAATTCAACTCAACTCAACTCAACTGAGTCCAATTAAAAGTAATTAATATAACATTAAATAATTGAAAGCAAGAAAGGAAAGAAAATGACCTCCGCGACTCAACTATAAGGGCCTCTTTTAAAAATTACTTTTTTATGGATAACAAATTGTTAGAGCAATCCTTATTAACACTAACTTATCACCCTTTAAGAAAATTTCCATTTTTCTTTTCCAATTGTTGTTTCTGTTTTATAGAATGGAGACCTTATAGTAGGAGGACCTGGAAGTTTTTATTGGCAAGGTACGTTGTGTTAGCAGAGAAGAAACGCCTGTTTGTTGGTACTAACAAGGAGATGAATCATGAGCAACATTAAATATTGACTTTTTATTACGTTAATTTTATATCCGAATTCATTGTTTCTAAATGAATGAAGCATCATTTTAGTTTGTTCTTTGTTATATAAACGATGTTTTAAAATACATAATTTTATTTTATATAAATAAGTTGCAGCATAATTCATGTATTCACCACGTTTGCTGAAGCTAGGCCAGGCTTGGTGCTAGATGCTGGGAACACAATAATGCACAAAGATAGACATGGTTCCAGCCCTCACAGGGATTGCTATCTGCGGAAAGACCAGGCACTCCGCAAATACTCATACAAGTCCATGAGAAACCCCAGGCATGATATTAACTATGAAGGAAAGGTGTGTCAAGATGGGGCCATGAAATCATAAGAGGCTTCTCTAGGGTGGCTGAATGCAAGTGTGCTTCGTCCTCTGGCTGACAAGGAGCTGCAGTGCAACCTTGTGCACTGCTTAGGGAGCCCTGAACCCCAGGCAGGATGACATCTGCCCAGAGCGGGTGACTTCCTCTAATTCTTATAAAGGTGTTACATAGGCCAGCAGCACCCTGAAGGTCTACTCATTTGGAAGCAGGCAACCCTGAACTGAGATCTGAACATCGAGTAGGAAATAACGAGGCAAAAAGAGGAGGGACTGTGTGAAAATGTTCTTGCAGAACATTTGGTCCAAAATGCCCATGGAGACATTTGCTCCACACCAACCCATCGACTTAACCCCATGTGCCATGACCAGCTAGGCTGCTGAGGCAAGAATGGTTATTACTGCCAGTACAGCGACAGCACAATTATTGAACCAATAAAATATAACAGTATTTTTATGCATTAATCCTGTAACTCAAAAGTGTAAATAAACATTATGGGCTATTTGAACCCAGGGACCTTTTCTAAGCATGGACCTTTGGACAGGACCAAATATTTGTGAATTGAAAATGTTCCATGATGGGACTGCAGAGTAGTGCAGCCACTATGGAAATCAGTATGGAGGTATCTCAAAAAACTGGAAATGGAACTACCTTATGACCCAGCAATCCCACTCTTAGGTATTTATCCAAAAAACCCCAAGACATTAATCCAAAAAAATATATGCACCCCTATGTTCATTGTGGCGCTATTCACAATAGCCAAAACTTGGAAACAACCAAAATGCCCATCGGTAGACGACTGGATTAAGAAACTTTGGTACATTTACACAATGGAGTATATTAGTCAGCTATAAAGAAGAAGGAAATAGTACCATTTGCAACAATATGGACGGAACTAGAGAACATTATGCTAAGTGAAATAAGTCAGTCAGAGAAAGACAAATACCATATGATCTCACTTATACGTGGATTCTAAAAAACTGAATAAATGAGAAATGTAAACAGAAATAGTCTCAGAGACACAGAGGAAAAACTGAGGGTTGCTAGTTGGGAGGGGGTGGGGATTAAGGAGAAGGGGAAGGGATGAGATAATACAAATTGGTAACTATAATATGGCCTCAGGGATAGAAAAGACAGTTTGGGGAATATAATCAATAATGTTGTAAATATTTCTTAGGGGGCCAGATGGACTCATGTCTTGTTAGGGAGACCACTTCATAGTCGGTGTAGAGGCCTGACCACCGCACTGTATTTCTGAAGCTGATATTGAATAATATTGTATGTCAACTATAATTATAAATACATATAGTCACGGGACATGGAGTAGAGAGTGGGAATGGAGTCAATGGAATTGTAATAGATAAGCATGATATCGGGGGTGGGAGGGCAGTAGATGTGGGGGGGGGGGTTGTTACTTTGTGAGGGTGAAAAGGATACCCGAACTAACAATAAAAAAATTTTTTTAAAAAGAAAGAAAATGTTCTGTGACCTAAAGGAGTACAGTGAGATGAGAATGGAGAAAAGTCAGGGTGACTGGAGTTCAGTGAGGGAGGAAAGAATGGTGTTGAGTGGCCCTGCCACTATGCAAGGCTTGCTCGCCAGAGTAAGCAATTTTGTCCTAATCCTAAAAACATTGAGACTTGTTTATCCTAAAAACAATGTGGATTGTAGGAATTTCAATGGATGGCCTTAGCTAGAGGAAGAATTTGTCGCTTGTCTTGAAAATAATGGGAAACCATGGGAGAATTTTAAGTGCAGGACACCAGGACCATGTCTGTGTTTTGAAAAGATTGCTCTGGCTGCAATATGGAAAATGGATTGGTGGCTGGGCAAAGTGAACTACCAGCAAACTCGTTATCAGGTTATAGGCTAGTTCTAAGTTTGTAAGATAAACTAGTTATAAGGTTCAGGTGAAGACATTTGCTTCTTCTAGTGGTGCTGGTAACATTTAAAGAGGAGAAATTTGAGAGATGCTTCGGAGGCAAAATAAACAGCCTAGATAGTGGATTGGATATATAAAGGTGAGGGAAGGGAGACTGTCGAGGATGTGTTTCTGACTTACGGAATCGTTACAGGTGGGTCTAACACACTGAGATGGAAAACACTGGAAGAGAAAAGGTTTGGAGTCGGTTGGAGAGGCAAGAGTATGAGTTCACTTTTGGTTATGTTGAGTATGAAAATATTTGCGATATCCAAGAATTTTCACCTAAGTATTTAGATGTATGGGTTTAAGCTCAGAGAAGATATCTAGGCTTAAAAAAAGAAGTTACTTGTGTATTGGTGATAACTGAAGCCATCAGTGTGGACAGGCTGAAGGGAATATAGACTGAATTATGGCTGTATTAGGATAAAGATAGAGTAGAATCTGAGACAGATAGTTGACTGATGTTGTTTTTGTTTTGTTTTGTTTTTAATGGAAGAGACCCGATGACGTTTAAAAGCCAATGGGAAAGACACAGGAGAGACGGATTAATGATAAAATTTTATGTGAAACTACTGTGAAGCTTAATTCATACATATGCAACTACGAACATCAAATAATTAGCATTTCAGTCTTTGAAATGGTTTTGCAAACTGAAAAATAATATATTTTATGCAGTGGATGGATATAAAATAAAATTATGTGTTTGAAAAGAATGTCTTCTAATTCACTTGATTAACTTCACACAATTCTTTCTTTTCCATAAATAGAAAAATGTCTAATGCAGATGATTTGCTGAAAATTAGCCCTATCAAGGGGATATAGAAGCATTTGCCTGAGATAATTTAACATTTTATTCAGTGTTAAGATTATAATGTTTATAGAAGCAGCTAAAAGAAAATAAACAAAGGCAGTGTGTATGTAAGAGGAGGGGAGGGGGTATTCAGCTTTACTCCAGAGAAAATTGGCAAATTCTACAGATATTGTTCAGAAATTCATGTGTAAATACCATTGTCTTAATATAAGTACAGTCATTTCAGGCACAGTTACTTGGAAATATTTATGGCCTCGTTTGGCAGTTTTATTCTTTTTGGACTTTAAATAAGACTGTGGGAATTATGTGTGAATTTCCAAAGAACAGTTTGGCTTTAAACTTAATATTACATGTTAGTCTCTTGAAAGCATTCCTCCATTTTTCTCCCAAAGAACATGAGATCACATCTTCCTTAGGTGTCCATAATAGTCATGGGAATGCTGGAAATTGTAGTGGGAAATTACTGGCCATCTTTTGGATTTCTGTTGATCCTAATACAATCATATTTCAAGATGTCTGATAGTGACTTTATGTGGGAGAGATTAACCAAAATCCTTATCCTATCAATGTTGGTGGCCCTGGATTGTTTTGTTTGCTAAAATTCTGAATCTCACTGGACCTCGCTGCCTCACACTGTCGTAATGTTACATTTTTAGCATAAAAAGTACATGGCTGAAAGATTTGGTAATTCCTTCCTTTAACATAGTTGATATTGTTTCACAATCTCTTAAGCACATGATTTAGATTTAATACATCCGTATTATGTGAGAATGCAAAAATTCTAATTAGAATGTCAAAGGAGACCTTCATTGTAATGCCAGGTACCCTAATAGCAAAGCCACGTGACCTTAGAGAACACACTTAAGCTCTTTGGGCCTGTTTCCTCACCTGTAAGAAGTTATAATTTGTCTAGATGGTCTCAAAGCTAGATGATATTTCTTCTAGCTAGAAAATTCTAGAATAAAAATTTAATAACATAAATTTTGCTTACAGGTATTTTCACTCTTAGATAATTTTATTTTCTGGAGGTAGAGGGATTATGTATGGTGAGGGCAGCAGGAAGAAAATAAAATACGAAGTTCATCTTTGGTTCTTCTGTCAGAATGGAAAGCTCTACCCAGCCATAAGCAACTCACACTGGTCTTCTAGTGGCAGGCAAGAAAATGTGTCATTGAAAATACAAGCAATTCCATCACCATTTTTAAGGGAGTATGTGTTGTTCAGACATTCTGTGTCTGCTGAGGAAAGGCCTGCCTCTTTCATTCATTCAGCTAATGTATTAATTCATTTGAACGCAGGTCAGGTGATCACTGCCAGTATTGCAGACATCATTGCAAATTACTCATTCAAGGATATTCTAAGGAAATTGGCTCGAGAAAAACAGACAGAAGTGGCTCCAGCTTCCTACGATGATAGTTACCTTGGTGAGATCCATTGCTCAAGACATTTTTGATTTCTCAAAAGACAAACATATTAAATGTAGAGACAAAATTTATCCCTCAGTTACCTCATATTATTTGGTACCTTATGCAAGTTTTCTTATTTGCTCAGAGTGGACTCATTTCTTTTCTTTTGATTCAGCCAGGACATATAACCTACATGATTTGAAAGCTATTTTATAGGCTCCCTCAACAGTCTCTTGCACATAAAATATTTTGCCAGTAGTGGGTACTGTGGATTAGTGGGGCTGCCCAGTATAACAGGGGCAACATGATAGCGGCCTTTCTGGTGTCTAGAGCAACAGCAAGAGACTTTCCAGTTGTCAGAATGACCTTGAAATTCATTATGTGCAAACCACACAATATCATTTCACCACTACTGTTTCTTACCCTTGGTATCATATGGCATTTTGATTGCTCAATCAATTTTTTTAAAATTATAGTTATGTTTTGTCACCTCACTTCACTTTAGAGGCAAGTGAACTTTGTGGAAGATCATCATTAAATGAATTAGGAAGTAGGCCTCATTGCTGATCAGAAATAGCAAAACCTGAGCACAAAGAATATCTTTAAAGAGTATCATGTCTGATCATGGTGAATCAGTGACCTTAAAATGCAATGACCACCATTTACAATTTAAGGTGGGTTATGACGCATTCCTGCTTTAAAAAGTGACCTCAGACTCTGACTGTGTTGCCATACTCAGGAATAGGGGGTCTATTGAGCCTCCAGGATTTAGGACAAAAGTGTTCATATTGGTTCAATTAATTTTTCCCTTTATAGAACCCTAAATTTTTATGTTATAATATTTGTTGAGATTTCTCTACAATGCAGTACTATGGTAGTTCTTTCATTTTTCTAGATATAGAGCTCATTTATAAAGCCTTCAAACTTGTAATTAGTTTGTTTCTTTAAAACAGGATATTCAGTTGCTGCTGGGGAATTTACAGGAGATGCTCAGCAAGGTGAGAGACATTGGTGAATGTAAGTCATTTATAAAACATTGGAGATAAGATCAAATGACCTAAAAAGACCTTTTACAAATGTAATTTTCTTTGCTACACAAAACGTTTATAAATAGAATCCCAGAATATATATGATAATATTTTGTAGAAAAAAAATACACTTTGGCACAGATTTTTAAGTCTGAAAGGATTTCATAAGACTGAATATCAATCTTTATAAATCTAGTTAAGCAATAAAAATTAGTCCAGCAGTCCCATGTTAGGAATGGAAAAAAAATACAGATGATTAAATGACTTAGACAAAAGCCAGGCTGTTGGTGACACACCAAATGTGAGGAATCAAGATCCCTCATTTTAGTTTCTGGAATCTCATATCAGACATGTTCAAATTAAACTCTTCACTCAACAACAACCCAACATCTCCACACTATTTCCTTTTTTCCATTGGAGATGCCCAAACCTAAAATAACAGAACAATCTAACCCATATTCTCATAGGTGCCCCTCAGTTTCTGTCTTCTGTGTTTTCATTCCTCTGATTCTGTACCCACCCTCACCTTCCAGTGGCCAAATACAATACTACTTTTTTTTTTTTGAGGCCAATTTTAAATGTCATTTCTTCCAGAAATCCTTCCTTAGCTTCATTCTTTAAACTCCTATATCATCTCATTTTTCCTTTCCTAAGGCATTTACCATTCATTCATTCATGAAATATTTTTTGAGCACCTACGATGTAACAGGCTATGTGTGAAGTGCTGAACACACAGAGGTGAATAAATGTCCTTAATCTCAGAGTTTACAGTCTAATGGGGCTGACAGACATTAAGCAACGAACACAAATTATCTGATTAAACAACTGTAGTGAGTGCTAGGGTAAAGTCTAATAACAGAACTAATCCCATTCGTGAGGACTCTACCTTCATCACCTAATCACCACCCAGAAGTTCCCACCTCCTGATACCATCACACTGGGGGTTAGGATTCATCATCATATGAATTTCATGGGACACAGACATTCAATCCATACCAATACCTATCATATACATGACAATAAATGGTAGCTTTTACTTTACTAGTAATATTTATTGAATACTCAACCAGCAATCAATATTTGCCATCTTCCATCTTGTTTCATATGACCATAACTGCTTTTCACTTATGTGTTTTAACTAATTCACAAATAATTAAGAATGAATGAAATATGGCCATCTTGAGGAATCATCACAGCTCTTTTAATGGCTTCATGTTGACAAGACATTTGTAAAAATAAGTGGAGCCACTTTAAAATGGAGTTGGAGCTGCCATCCCAGAAGAACTGCCTTGCACATCTTATGCCTCAAACCTATGGAATCTTAAAACAGAGCAAAATAACCTTTGGGCTGGGCCTAAAGCAATATTGTACCAAACAACTGTTTGCAAAGATAACCAGAAATCAGATATTATGGCTAATGGACTTAAAATTAAAAACATTCTTGAGAATTAGCATCACAATTTTACTTTATCTGCATGTATACAAATTCTTTCCTTCCATTGATGTAATTGTTCCCCTTCCCTTTCTCATAAATACCTCTTGCCTTCACCTCCTGATCAGAACACTATTTGGGGTTTTTCCTGAATCAGTGCTTCCCCAATAGCTATTCTTTTGGATTCCAAATAAATGTGTTGCCTCTCACTTTGGCCTTTTATGTTTAGGTTAACACATACAAAGCAGAAATTCATTAAAAAAGAAAAAAAAATTATTGCTGTTATATGGATGTTGAAAACAGTTTTCTTTTTCCTTTGAAAGAACATCTTTTCTTTTCAATACAAGCTAATTTGGCCCTCTCTTTCCATAATTTTCTTCTTTAAGATGTTAAAAGACAATTTATTGTTGTGGTTAACAGTGTGGATTTTGCAGCTAAACCACTTGGGTTTAAACTCTGACTTACTTTGTCACTTACTAGCTCGGTGACCTAGTTACCTAACATCCCAGTGCCTCCATTTCTTTGTTCCTAAAAGACAGATGATGATGATGATGATAGTATCATCTATCCAAAGATTCTTGTAAGGATTAAATGAATTTATCCTATATATTCATAAAACAGTGCAATACCTGACACATAAAAGCACTATTTAAATATTGGTTATAATAAGAAAGAACCTTTGGGTTAGGGGCCATCATTGACAGAATAGAATAACTATCACCTTTATAAAGTCAGATCTTAACCCTCCATCGGGTGTAACTGATCTCACAGATTCATTGCACACAAAGATGTGGTTATGAAATAAGTCTTTACTGTACTAAGTCACAAACATGACTGGCGATTGGTTATGGTAGATGGGGAAGATAAAGAAGCAATGAGTCACGACACCGAAGTTAACTGTTAGATATCTGAAAATTTGTGTGCAGTGAATCTGTGAGATCAATTGCACCCGACAGAGGGTTAAAATCAATGGTTTAGCAAAGGAAACTGCAAAATGTGCCAAATAATGTTTAAACATGGAGCTAGGCTCTTGTTGGAAAGCTTTCCAGGAAAGCACTCAGTTCTGACCTGAAGAAATTAATGATGATGCATGGCAGCTCATCGTAGGGAAAGATAATCATAATTTCCCATTGGATCTCAGAAATATTACATCTAGAAAATGGATTCAAGTTTTAAGTGATTTGCAGGTATCTAAAGTAAAGGCATGATCAGAGTTCATGGTCTGTTCGTTCATCAGACCACTCCAAGTCCAAGGCTGCCCATATTCACTATTTACTTACCTAGACAAGAAGGAGTAGGAATTCTATGAAAAACAGTGAGCAACTTGATGTCCAAAGATGAGAGATTCTTAATACCGGATCCTTAAACTCTGGGTGGTACATGGATGGAGTTCACGGAATTTGAACTCCTAGAAATTATATGCAAAATTATATATGTATGTGAATTTTTCTGGTGAGAAGATCCATAACTTCTATCTAATTTTCAAATGTGTTCCAAAAAGGTCCTCCATTCTCATTTAAGAGTGCGATGTGGTGAGCTAAGGCCCAAGAAAGTGAACTGGCTATAATGAATCCTGGGAAAGTCATTTGATGTGATGGAAAGAATGTTGGTTTTGCTGCCAGTTCTTGAGTTTTACTCACTAACTATGTATGGTGACCGAACCTTTCTCAGCCTCAATTTCCCAACATGCCAAAAAGGGATATGAAGGATTACTTCTGAGAGGTTAAATGAAGGAAATATTATAAAGAACATGCCACATTGTCTAGTGGCTGGGAGACATTCAATAAACCCTGGCCTACTTTCTGCTTCTCACCAGTGGGGTTGAAGTCCACATCATGTATTTTGAGACCAGAGATCTAAATTTTTCCTGAACATAGTGTTGATATTAACAGACCTCTGAAGGTTTTGTCATGAGTTGTTGAAATGGTTCTAAGAACAGTCTTCTATTTCCCCTTCCCACTTAATATTTAGGTAGTTGAGTGATGGTTCTCCTAACTTGCTTCAAATTCCAGTCAATTTACTGTCTTAATCATTTTTAAACAGTTATGAACACTTTCAATCAATATTACATTTAATAACTTCTTAGTGTTGTGACCATATGAAGTTACAGACTCCAAAGTTCCTGACTATGATGATGGTTGATTTTTTTAAACAAAATTCTTCAGTGTCTGTGGGATGTGAGATGTCATGGTTCCCATGTATCTCAAATGGCATAATTTCCCTTAATCTTTCCTGGTTGACAAGCCTGATCCTGAAATCAGTCAACTCCATTATTTAATTCCTACCAAACAGTATTGAAAACCAAGTAGTGTGCTACCAGTTCTGACAGCTTTCCTACCATCTATCCAGATAGCTTAGTTTTTCTGAACCCCATTTTATTCTTCAAGAATTCACTTCCCCTTCCTTCCTGTTGCTTTAGTTGAACTATCCAGGCTCATGTCTAAACCTAATCCCTCCTCTGTGCACCAGATCCTATCCCCTTTCATGACTCAGAGATGCGACTTCAGCAATTCTTGATTCTCAATCTCACCCTTTCTATTGGATCATTTCCACCAATGTACAAGCATACTCATTTCTGCCATCTTAAAAAAATCTCTTATCCCACTTTCCCTTCCAGCTACCACCTGTATTTCTCTGCTTCAAAACAGCTGTCACTCTTCTCTGCCTGTATCTCCGTCTGCTAGTTCTACAGCTTTCCCTTCTCTTAAACTCACTCCTGTTAGAACGGACCCCTACCACTCTACTGAAACTGCTCCTGTCAAGCAGAGGTCTCCATACAGCTCATCTTCCGAGACAGACAGGAGTGTTTGGTGGAGTTAATCACTCCCTCCTCCTTTTTTCCATTGCCCTCCCAGACACTGGTAGCTCCTTCTCCATCTCCTTTACTGATTCCTCTTAAATTTCCCTCACCTCATTCACGTGTCCCAGGGGTATATATTTGGACTCTTTTTTACTCTTTTTGGATAATCTCATCCAGTCTCACTAACTTCTCCAGCTTACACTGAATTCCAAATTCATGTATCCGGTTCTCTACTCAACATCTCTATCTGAATAGCTATCCTAAACTTAATGTGCTCATAACTGAACTCATGACCTTGCCACTGACACATGCCCTAGCCTTCATCATCTCCATTTCAGTAAGTGGCAATGCTGATCTCCCAGTTACTCAAGCTAAACATCTTGAAGTCAGCCTTGAACTGTGCTTTCTCTCACACCCCATCTATATCATACCCATGAACAAATCCTGCTAACTAAACTCTCCAAATAAGACCAGGATCTGACCATGTCTCACCTCCTCCACAGTGTCTACTTTGGTTCCCGTCCCCATGGGCATTGTTGCCATAGCTTCCTAACTGGCCACCCTGTGTTCATCCTTGCATAGAAGACAGGAGACTGTGTTCTACCCTAAACCCAGCAGCCAAAGCGGCCCTTCAGAAACAGAAATCAGATAGTGTCACTTCTTTGCTCCTGATGATGTCCCAACTCATTCAGTCTAAAATCCAACTCTTCACAATGACCTAAAAGACTCCAATCATCAAGCTACTCATTACTTTGACCTCATCTCCTACTCCTCTACCCCTCAGTCCCTCAACTCCAGCCACCCTGGTCTCCTTGCTGTCCTTTGAATACACCAGACTCACTTGCACCTCAGGACCTTTGACTCATTCCCTCTGATTACAACATCCTTCTCCCTGATCTCCATAATCTCCGTAACTTCCTCACCTTTCTTCAGTCTTTGCTCAAGAGTCATCTCCTCTCTAAGTCCTTCCGTGACCACCCTAATAAATCACAAGTCCTTCCTCATCCCAACTCCAGCAATCTCAGTACCACAGTCTGGCTTAGTTTTCCCCACCGTGCTTATCTGCTTGATGGCCTTTTCCTACTTAAGGATTAGCTCCAGGACAGTTGGCAATTTTGCCTGTTTTGTTCCCTGCATATCCTTTGTTTGCCTATAAATAGTTGTGGTTTAAATGAGTTAATTTACTATGGAAAAGTCCAACATCTAATGCCAAATGAGTCTTCTCTGATTATTAATGCTAACCGCAGGAGTGCCCAGCTCTGCTAGAGTTCAGCACACTGGATAGAGTTCATGGTGGAATTTGTGCTCCCCTTAGGGGCAGGATTGGGGGAAGGGGAATTGAATGGAAGGGGGCTCTCTTCCAGGCCCTTCTTCTTTAGATTAAATTTTTAACCTCTATGAATCAAAGAATAGTTTAGGTTTACAGAAACAAGAGCTGGAATGATCTTTGATAATCAGCAGTTCCAGCTCCTACCTATGGAAGGTGCCTGGAAAATAATTAGGTTTGGTGATTCGTCCCAAGTATACGGCAAAGCCAAGGACGAAAGCCATTGTTTCGTGAACCTGGAGCCAGATCTCTCTACCTTGGAAGACACTGTCCCTTTCCACAGAGTTGTTTCCCATGTGTCTATAGCTGACGCTTCCTTCTGGGGGTCACCTTGGCTGCCAGGATGCGTCCTAATTCTGCTGCCAACACACAATTCCAGGGGCCCAGACTCATATCACCTGTGATATGTGGCTTTTCCTTAGGCAATCAAAACTGTTTTAACATGTTAGTGTGACAGAAGATGTTAGTTTTTACACTAGTACCAAAGATGTCATCACAATAAAACCTGGAGAGATCAAGGTAAGAGGTTTAACCTACAAATCACACACAGACCTGAGAAGCCAAGCTTATGTCCTGGAGGCAGAAACACATGGAGGCTGGTACATCTCAGGGTATGACTTTTGGTCTTCTGTTTTCTATTGTCTATAGCAGAAGCGAAATCCCAGGCATGCAAAACCATGACTTCAAACTGCCAGCTCCCTACATGATGCACTCATTTAAAAAGCACTATTTTTAACTGGTTTGTTGTACAGCTTTAAAATATATGTGTAATTCACCTTCTGAATAACCATTTTTTATCCCCAGAATTGATTGCTGGAGTTCCAAGAGGAGCACAGAATTTTGGATATGTGAGTACTAAGAATGCATTATGTATGCAGAGAAATGTTTCATTTTATACAACTTTTAAATCTTTTTAAATGCCCTTTAATTGCAAACCCTAATGGATCTATGCCTATCTGCTTATTAAAAAGAGGCTAGAATTTTTTGTTTTTCTGATCTAAGGGCAGGATCAGCTACATAATCAGTAAGACCCAGTGTCTAATGAAAATTCAGGGCCTCTTGTTCAAAATTATTAAGAATTTCAGGTCAGTGATAGCTGGACATTAAACCAAGGGTGGGGTTCATTGGAGCGGGGGCCCGTGTGACTGCATAGGTCACACATCCATGAAGCCAGCCAATCCTTGTACGTAATCTAAAAATAATTGCAGCGTATCCCACTGTTGATATGATCAACATGTTAATATGTCTTATATGGTAGAAATAATAAAACCAATTGTTATTTCACCAGGGCAGGAGTTTTCCTAGAGCTACCATTACAAATTACCACAAACTGGGTGGCTCAAAATTCGTAAATTTATTCTCTCAAGAGGCCTGAAGTCTAAAATCAAGGTGTCTGCAAGGTCGCACTCCCTCCAGTGCATCTAGGGGAGAATTGTCCTGCCTCTTCCAGCTTCACGCGGCCCGTCTTTCCTTGGCATCCGGCAGCTTATCTCCACCTGTGCCTCGGTCCTCACATGGCCTTCATCCATCTATATCTATGCGTGTCCTCCCTTTTCTTATAAGGACACCAGTCATTAGATATGATGCCCACCCTAAATCCAGGATGATTTTATCTCAAGATCCTTAACTTATTTCACCTGAAAAGACCCTACTTCCAAATAGAAACATGGATTTTGGAGGGATACCATTCAAACCTATTATAACTAGTAGGAATAGAAGATAAATAGATCATATGGAAAGAAAAACTTTTTAAATAAAAATATTTCAAATATTTTATTCTTTTTTATTCTACTAAACTTGTAATATTTATAGATTTGGAGTTGGCAAAATAGAATTTAAAGGAATAACTTTGCTATGTGAATAACATTAAATTTTCATTGTTTGCAAAGAGCCATAATCTCCAACTTCTCACAATAGCATGTGCACAAAAATCCTGATTAGATCAATTAAATGACCATTGAATTAATTGCTCAGTATTCTTGAATTCAAATATTATTTCTCTGCTTCAGAGTAGTAAGCATGCATTTTGTCTGAAAGGATCCCAGACTTAACCATAAACAAAAAGTTCAACTGGATTCCTTTAAAGATCATACTCATGGCCTTACATTTTTATTTTATATATAGCTAACCATTTATCACTTTTCCCCAAAATTTAAAAATGATTTAAGTTGCAATTAAAAATTTTTTCTCCAGTTCTATAGTAAATCATGTAACCTATCTAATGTCTGTAATTTCAGGTTTCAATCATTAACTCTACAGATATGACCTTTATTCAGAATTTCACTGGTGAACAGGTAAAGATGTTTTAATATCAAATAATCACTGCCACTAGGTACTAATAGCATATAGTAATACTTATATAATTTATTTGTTCATAAAATAAATATTTACTGAGCACCTACTATGTTCTGGAAGCTGTTCTAGGCACTAGGAATAAAACCAAGATTCCAGCTCTCATGCTGCTGGGAAAGGGAGTTGGGGGGAAGACAATAAACAAATAAATGCCCTTGATAATTTCAGATAGCGATAAGTCATAAAGAGAGAATGTGATTCTTAAAAGCCAAAATGCCACTAACTGCTGGAATCTGAGAGGAATCCTGTTATATTGTTGGGATTTGAAGGAATTATGTTATGTTGCTGGGATCTGAGAGGAATCCCATTATATTGCTGGGATCTGAGAGGAATCCC